TCAGGAGATCAAGACCATCCTGGCCAACATGGTGAAACCCTGCCTCTATTTTTAAAAATACACATATATATTTTTCTTTCCTCAAGAATAAATTAACCTTGGTTTACTTTAACTTTTCTCTTTATAAACGTAAACACTTTTTGACTCTTGTAATAACACCTAGCTTAAAACAAATACATTGTACAGCTGCACAAAAATATTTTCTTTATATCCTTATTCTGGGAGCAGGGAGTGGCCGTCTCTGGCCTCAGTCCACACAGGCATCAACCACTCCCCTTGGCAAGTGTGAAGCAGCAGCTCGGGCTGGTGCGGCCCGGCTTGAGCATGATCTCTGTCTTCCTCTGCCTGTGAGGGACCAAGGAAGACTTGGGTCTGCTGTCCACCGACTACTATGTTTACTATGACACGGACATGGACCAGGCGTAAGGCGCAGGCGCACGTGTGTGTATGTGTGTGTGTGTGTGTGTGTGTGTGGTGTGTGTGTGTGTGTGCATGCGTGCATGCGCATGTGTGGCCAGTGCCTCCCCGCTTGACTCAAAGACTAAGCAGAGGACATGGAATGGGGGGAAGTGGGCAATTTCCAATTGGCGCCTGGAAGTTTGCCATCCCAAGGCTGTGGCTCAGCTTCACCCATCTGGGGAGTCCCTAGGGATAAGCCGTCCTTGCGGTGATGCTGGCGTTTTGAGGACAAAAGCCTGGAGATCACAGCCAGGTTCCTCTCCGACGCAGGATGGAGCGCTATGTCTCGGTGCCCAGGGAAGAGGCTGCACAACACATCCCTTTTCTCTTCATCTCTTCCTCATCAGCCAAGGACCCGACCTGGGAGAACCGATTCCCAGGTAGGGCTGCAAGTCCAAGTGGAGCCTGGCGTTGGGGTGAGGGGGTGGAAGGAGGGGCTGGGCAGCAGTAATACTGGCCCTGATCCCCAGACCGCTCCACCATGATCGTGCTCATACCCGGCACCTACGAGTGGTTTGAGGACTGGCAAGCAGAGCCGAAGGGAAAGCGGGGCAGTGACTATGAGACCTTCAAAAGCTCATTTGTGGAAGCCTCTATGTCAGCGGTCATGAAACTGTTCCCACAGCTGGAGGGGAAGGTAGGGGGTAAAGTATTTGGGGTGCTGACGGACCTCATGGTGCCATTTCTGCCCTTTCCTTCAGACAGGGGAATCAGGCCCCAAGACACCTGAGCCCCAGGGAAGGACGGGACACCCACCCCTGCAGTCAGCGCATGGGAGAGAGCAGAAGAGGGAGGGGAGTCAGGATCTCACGTTCCAGCCCACCCTTTGGCTGCCCTCTGTGCCCTCAGGTGGAGAGTGTGACTGCAGGATCTCCACTCACCAACCAGTTCTATCTGGCTGCTCCCAGAGGTGCCTCCAACGGGGCTGACCATGACCTGGGCCGCCTGCACCCTCGTGTGATGGCCTCCTTGAGGGCCCAGAGCCCCATCCCCAACCTCTACCTGACAGGTACTCACTGCCCCATGTTGTCAGGACCTGAGACCCCGAGCCTCTGTTGCCCAGTGTCCTCTGTTCATGTCCTCAGGCCCTGCTGTCCCCTGCAGCCTCCCATCCCCTGAGCAGGGCTGCCTGGGCAGGCTGTGGCCCTGGTCGTGATCGGGGCCAGCTCTGGGTGCCCCTCATGCGGAGGGACGAGCACCAGGGCCCCACCCTGGCCTGGGCCTGCCTGGGTGCACACTCAGGGCCTCTGCTCTTGCCTCCTAGGCCAGGATATCTTCACCTGTGGGCTGGTCGGGGCTCTGCAAGGTGCCCTGCTGTGCAGCAGCGCCATCCTGAAGCGGAATTTGTACTCAGACCTTAAGGATCTTGGCTCTAGGATCCAGGAACAGAAGAAGAAGAATTAGTTCCATCAGGGAGGAGTCAGAGGAATTTGCCCAATGGCTGGGGCATCTCCCTTGACTTACCCACAATGTCTGTCTGCATTAAATCCTTGCACACACAAAGCACTCTAATTTGGTTCTGATTCCTCAGGAGAGGCCTAGTTTAAATCACAGTTCTGAATCTGGGGCAATGAAACCATTGCTTCCAGCTGGGGCAGGTGACAATCTGTATGCATTTTGTAACATGCTGTCCCTACTAATAGGCTATTGACCTGGATAGGGTGATGCCTCATGATGAGCAGTGCTCTGAATCCCTCACCCGTGCCTCCTAACTCAGTGATCAAAGAGAATATTCCATGGATCAGGTGGACTGAACCCCCGGCAGCGCTGTCAGCTCAAGCCAGTGGGTTCAGTTCTGTCCTGAGGCTTCTGCTCTCATTCACTTAGTGCTGTGCTGCAGAGTTCTACACTGTCAAGGAAAAGGGAGACTCATGAGGCTTAACTCCAAACCTGGGAATGGTTTTGGTTGCCGTTCCATAGGCTCAGAGAGCTCTAGACCCCTTTTGTGCTGGGTCCAGTGGCTCTTCAGAGGACAGGAAATGCCTGTGTCCGGCCCCATGTAGTTCTGGAGCTTTAGGGTAACAACAGGATCCATTAGTAGTGTGCATGTCAGAAGACCATATCCAATTCATATGGAAGTCCTGGGTCTGTCTTCCTTATGATCAGGGTGGCATCTGGCTCTTGATGTGCCAGCGTCGACACACCTTCAGAGAGCTCAGGACCTGAGCCTCAACAAGCCTAATCCTCCAAATACACAGGGTAGGGTGATGTCAGGAGTCAGGGTATCGACTGGTAAGATGAATGCTTTGCTGGGCTGAAGCTGGCTTCAGGGCATTCCAGACAAGGGCACAACCGGGGACAGCTCCGGGAAGTGTGGGGTAAGGAAGTCACATCAGAAAGAGGAAAGCCACAGAATATGTGTAAAGTCCAGAAATGGCATTTGTAGTTAATTGGCACATGTGAGGGCTAGACAGCTGAATGAAAGCTTAAGATTTGGAAACATGACTTTTCATTTATGTCTTTAGTATGAAACATACCAAAGGTCTTATTGTAGTTTGTGTTAATGTAACATTAATACATTTATTGATTCCATTTCTTTAACATTTGAAATTTATTTTGGTTTCTGCTCAACAATACTATACTGCAATGGTATTTCCAGAAGCTCAGTGAAACACTATACATTGAAAAACACCAAAATAAGCCTTAAAAAAATAAAATTAAATAATTACAAAGTTACAAAAAGTGGCCATCTACTGTTTGGGCAAACAAAAAAAAAGAACAATTTCAACACTCTCTCATTTATTGTACATGGAATCTGATGAATTAAAGGAATAGCAATCAGAGTGTGGGGGCTGGCATATTGGCAGTTTGATGTACCATACAGCTCAGGGCTGGGTGCGTTGGCTCACACCTATAATCCCAGCACTGTGGGAGGCCAAGGTGGGTGGATTGCTTGAGCTCAGGAGTTCAAGACCAGCCTGAGCAACGTGGCAAAACTCTGTTTCTATAAAAAATATTCACCCCCTCCCCCCCAAAAAAAATTAGCTGGACATGGTGGTGTACCCCTGTAGTCTCAGCTATTCATGAAGCTGAGGTGGGAGGATCACTTGAGCCCAGGAGGTAGAGGTTGCAGTGAGCCAAGATTGTGACACTGCACTCCAGCCTGAGCAACAGAGTGAGACCCCATCTCAAAAAAAAATAAAAATAAAAAATAATGTAGCTCAGGCTCAAATGCTTTACAGAAGAGTTTCTAAATTGGCAGATTTGGCCAAGTACAATGGCTCATGTCTGTAATCCCAGCATGTTGAGAGGCTGAGGTGCAAGGATTGTTTGAACCCAAGAGTTTGAGGCCACAGTGAGCTATGATCACGCCACTGCACTCCAGCCAGGGTGACAGAACAAGACCCTCTCTCTCTCTAAAAAATAAAATAATAAATAAATAAATAAATAAATGGGCGATTTAGTAAATTCACATCTGCCCTGTAGAGCCACCTGAGTTGAGAGTCACCCTTGGCTCTGGATGTACCGTTTAATTAAAGCTGGAAATCTCTCCCCAGGATTCCTACTGGAGCAAGTAATGCCAAGCCCAGCCTTCCTAGCAAGAGTTTTCACAGCGTTCTAGCTCTCCAGACCTGCAGCATTCTGCATCAGGTTACCCCGTACAATCAGGGATAAGAGAAGACATCAGCATCACCAGGAGGGGAATTCCAGAGGTTTAGAATTCAGTCAGCACATGTGTCACTGGAAGTCATCATGGGGGGAATATGCCAGAGCTTATGTAACTAGCTGTCAGGTCTTCCCCTGCTGCCTCAGCCTCACTACATAGACTTGTCTTCGACGTCGCCTAAGTCCAGAAGTGGACTCTTTTTTTTTTTTTTTCCTTTTTTTTTTTTTT